TTAATTCAAACAATAATCTTTATATTTAACATTAAAATTCATTTGTGCATTGTTTTACTAAATTTTGGATTGTTAATTCAAATGATTTAAAACTTATACTTTGATTTAAGTAAGAACTCATTTATGAAGAATTTAAGGCTAAGAATTCTTGTTTAGATATTTAGTATTTAGATCTGATTCCTTCAATTAATAATTAGAAATCCTTATCACACAAATTCATTTAATTATTCATTCTTTTAATTACATCTTCACTTTCATTATTAACTCTCTTAATCTATTCAAATAATGATGGCAATTCTTCTTAATGTTGAAGATGAGAAACATGAATTCCATTTTTTAAACATTACATGCAATATAATTTCTCTCCTTAACAAAATTCATCAGATCACACAAATCCAGCTTTGCCAGTATGCTCTGGATTTGGACGTTTAATAGTGACATCCTCGCTTTAATTCATAGCTAATTTAATTATTAAATCTTTTTCAATTTCTATTATAATGCTTTAAATATAAAATTTATATTATCTTAAATTTAGAAACTCATTTTATTGTTTCCAAATTTATTAAATTTAGAATTGCCTTTTACTTTACTTTAAAATATGTAACAAATATAAAAATAGCGTTAGCAAATTAAAATTTACATTATTAGCTACCTAGATGATGAGAAGATTAAATGCCCATTCAAAAAGTAGAGAAAAATCATAACCTTGTTAGACACGAGATACTTAATATCAATAATGCTATTTGATAAATTTAAACTTTTTCTGTCCTGCAGTTTATTTGATTTAAAATATTTTCAAAGAATTTCTCATATTATTTCTGTTGTTTTTCAAAAATGAATTAATTCTATAAGATTAAATCCTTTCTTTAACAATAATTTTTTCATTAAAGTAGTTATGAAGCAGACACTTTCTTGTGTATATTTTGATATTATACAAAAGTGTTCTTGTTTTATATAAATTTTATATTTAAAAAATAAAAATTTCTATAGGAGATAATTCATATAAATATTGATTAGAATTATTTTATAAATTAGATTAGAGGATATCATTGTTATCAACAGTTTAATTAATGATAGCAAATAAATGATTTGAGAATTTAGTTAATAAAGTTCATAACAAATGAAACTTTTTCTAACTAAATTACAAAACTAATAAATCTGGTAATAGTAAACAAATTTGATTTAAAAATTATTAAATATGTAATAGCTAAAGTTAGCTTTGAAGAACTGAAGAGAAAAAGTTTGCTTAAGTGGTCCTTGATGAAACTCGATTAGGTTGTTACAATTATTTATCCACTATTGATAAAACCTTAAAATCAAAGGGGTACTTTGTATAGAACCAAAAATTTTGATTATTAACCTAAATTGTTTTGAAAAAGTTTTATTGACCGAGAACCGATGAAAAATATTAAACATTGAAAGAATCATCAACACTGTAGAATAATCAATATTATTTTAACTAAAATAATCTACTCTGCCTTAATAATCAGACAAAGGTCAGGACATTAAATGTATGATTAACCTTCAATCAAATTTTTATTACAAAAAATCTATTATACCCTGATTCAGAATAACAGAAAAATTTAAGTTAAATATTAATAAACTCTAATTGAAACTAATTTTTGTAGATATGATACACACAAGCCACATATTTAGATGGATTATTATCTAATAACAGTAATAATTTAGATTATTTTTTTTTAGACCCTCACACATAAATATAACCTAAAATTTAGATA